CAGTCAGTCCAGCGCAGTCTTCAGCGCAAACAATTTAAAAAGGAAAGAATACAAGCACTGCCATGAATTTTTAGCAAAGGATTGCAGCACACATAAAAATGCACAATACTTGTGCTGAGGTGTGATTGGACCATAACTTTATAAAGGAACACGGTTGTAGGGCTCATTCACATGGCAAAAATGTGCCACCTGTGGCAAAAATCCCGTGAGTTCATACAGATGGACTCTCAGGTGTATAGAGATAATTTCAGCAGCTGATTCTGTACAAACCAATGACAGGCTGACAGTGAGGGGTGTTTATCAAATCTGGAGCAGACAGAATCTTGGGCAGCTGTGCATAGCAGCCAATCAGTTTCTGTGTTTTATTTTAAAAACCTAACTAAACAAGCTGAAGATAGAAACTGATTTGCACAATTGCTCTAATTTTGGTAAATTCCGACTGCTGGCTGGATGTTTTTGCACATGGAGCAATTACCTGTGGCTAGATAATTACCCTTGGAAAAAGCTGCCTTCAAAGGCGATCATATGTCACTAACTGCAGGTAATCGCTTCATGTGCAGTTACATTGAAATATGTCAGACAGCTGCTGTCAGCCTGGTATTACCTTGTACAGACAGCTACAACTGACTGCATCTACCTCTAATTCTAGCCACAAGAATCTGCTGGACTTTTGCTGCAGCTGGCACATTTTTTTGTGTATACATATAACCCATATTTGTGTATACATATAAAAAAACACTATAAATATGTTTTTCCCCTTTTTTTTTTTTTTTTTTTTTTTTTTTAGAAGTGATCACATACCCTCTGTTCTCAACTGCATAAGGAGCTGGGGAGGAGAAACATCAGCACACTGATCTTCCCAGTGAATGGCTGTGCAGGGGAGCATGTGAGCAGAGGTCTAGTCACTGGAGTAGAGCAGTTCTTGGCACAGCCAGAAAACTGACCACACTGTAATCTCTTGCTAAGTGTGGTCAGTTTTAATAGGAAAGCAGAGGAACTGGCAGGAACACCAGGTATTTCACACACAGTAAGGAATACAAAAAGAACAGGATACTTTTTCATACAAGTACATGGTACAGCAGGCACATATCAGGAATATGAAATGTTGGGTTTACATATAATGATATATTATTTATTTCAGGTGCTTATATAGCCCCATCAATTTACACAGTGCTTTACATATATATAATGTACATTCACATCAGTCCCTAGCTCTCAAGGAGCGTACAATCTAAGGTCCCTAACTCACATTCATACATACTAGGGCCAATTTAGACAGGATCCAATTCACCTACCAGCATGTCTTTGGAGTGTGGGCGGAAACCGGAGCACCCGGAGGACACCCACGCAGGCACAGGGAGAACATGCAAACTCCAGGCAGGTGGTGCCGTGGTTGGGATTCGAACCAACGACCCTAGTACTGCCAGGCAGACGTGCTAACCATTTAGCCACTGTGCTGCTGTTCTTTAATGTATTTATACACATCGATAAGAATAATTATTTACCACTCTCAGATCTCTGTAACATACAAGCTAATCATTCTATAGTCCCAGATAAAAACTAAAGCTGGCCATACATGGACACATTTGAGGTGGATGAAGGAATCCTCCCTGCTGCAGTATTGTATTTTGACAGTGGGACACTGATTAGCGCTGCAGCCGATTGGCTGCATGCGCTGATCATCGAACACAAATTTTCAACAGTCCTATTCAAGAGGAGTTGATCATTAGGTTGACTTCTCTTGAACAGGAATGGCCATAGATGGATCAAACTCAGGCAGTCCCTGCTGAACCGAGCAAACTTCAATGGCCAGCTTTAGAGGGTTCTCGAAATAACACAAAGTCTGCAGAGGACCGAGGACAGCTCTGATTTTTTTCTTCACTTACCCAACAGATAAGTCTATTTTAATATATCAAAAGGGAACAAATAATAAAAGTTCATTGTGGGGGTTTACCAACAGTTAACCCCCCCGAAAAAAGAAAAAAATAGTTTCTTTGAATGGAAACCAGGGAACTAGATTTTGTTAGTGTTCAGACAGATCGGTTTAATGGATATTACTTTATCAGTGGCCATTGGTATAAAAAAGAACTTGGTGTGTATAGTTTATAAATGTATTTATGGCAGCCATATCTGTTCATTACAAGGCTCTGCTGAGTTGTACTGCACAGTGACTGTTATTACTCCTCCCGTTACTCAGTTCTAACCTGATTAAAACCGGTTGACTTTCTAGAAGACTACCCTGTCTGACCGTTTTTAGACAAATCAGGTGATGATCCTGCGTCTGTGAGAGGCCCCTGCTATAGGGCAGATGTGGCTATTGCTGCCCCTGCAATAATCACCATCGGCGATCATCTCCTCTCCTGTCTCTCTTCATTCACAAGTACAGGAACATTTACCTGAACTGAACATTTGTGTCTCTGACAACATTAATTGGCAAAACTGCTGGAGGTGGGTCTGAGCTTGCATGTAAACATATCCATATATACTGCTGTCATCCTAAACAGGTGGTGGCATGGGTCAAGAGTTCTCGAAAAACACAGATCCACTTGTAGATGGAGACCCCTGTAGGTATAAAGGAATATGTCCACAAGAATGTATACAAAGTAATCAGTTCTCCTGGATTACATTAGTTCTGGCCAAATATCACCTCATCTATGGCCAGCAAATGCATATAGTAGGAGACCCTTCCCATCAGCCCATTGAACTAAATCCAGCTGACATAAGATCTCAGGGTTTCCAATTTGCCTTCAGGTTTTTTTTGCCAGGCCTTGAGAAGTGCTGGAGAGGTTCTCAGTCAAATGGTATATATAGTGTATATTGCTTGCCATAGCAGATTAGAGCTGATTAGACGACTCAGCAATAGCTGGGACACGTTTAATGAGGATGATCCCTTCAAGGTCACTAGGGGATGGGAGAGCGCTTAGCTCAGGAACTGTATGTGTGTGTGTGACCAATATTGTCTTATAGCTCTAGTGCACATACATTTACCACCCCCAGAAAATCTGAAGTCTTTTAGACTGTTGAGCTATATTGCCTAAAAATAGCAATGAGTTTCAACTGTTTATTGTCCTAAAACCTTAAATCACAGTAAATTGATTTGTTTTTCCTGACTGGTCCACTGAAATACTTTATCATATAAACTATCCGCGCAAAATGACTCAAGTGAGTTTAAGTGGAAAAAAATCCAAAGTGACTGCATAAATATAGACCAGCCTTTCTCAAACTTTTTACCCTAGAGGAACCCATGGAATAATTTTAGATCTCAGGGAACCCGTTGAAAACAAATTTATTGGTGGTCAATGGAAAGAATGCCCCCTTACCGTGCTGATCACAATGCCACCCTTACAAATAGCTAAAATGATCAGTGGTGTCATGCCACTGACTTTCCCCTAGTAGCGTTGGCCCTGGAACTATTCAGACACCATCAAATGGGAGACCAGTTAGCCACAGCTCAAGGAACCCCTTGCAACCTCTGGAGAAATCTTAGGGATCCATGGAACCCTGGTTGAGAGTGGCTGGTATAGACCCTCTTAAAGTCAATTACAGCTTTGAGTCTGCATGTCCAGGTCTCTCTGAGCTTTGTACATCTTCATGATGTACGTTATATCAACAGTTATACTAGTTGTTGGAATTTCCAAATAAATGTGTATTTGTACATGTTATTTATAATACTGTGATTTGCAAAATATATATCGTCCTGGACAGTGCAGCTGGATGTTAGGATAACTCCACCTGTATGTGATTTTTCAGTTATTGAAATAAGTTAAAGCAGAACTAAACCCATCAATTCCATGGCTTCCCAAAACAGTTACATTCAAGGCATGCTGTGAATGATAACTGTCATATTTGCGTTTGCTCTCAACCAAATTGGTCAAACCATCAAATCACTGGCGTCATAACTGTGATCACATGTGCAGCACCATGGCAACTGCAGGTCAAACAGAGGCAGCTTCTTTTGCTGTAAAGGACAGGAGGTTTAGTGCTGCTTTAAAGTGGTTGTAAATCTTTACATATACCCAGTGAAGTGACTGGCCTCAGATTAAACCATTTATCTGCAGACCTCTCTTATCTACATCCTTTCAAAGTCCAGAATTTGTGAAGCTTGTCTCAGCTTTCAGAAAACAGAGGGCGGAGAGCTCAGTGAGGAGAGCTCTGATAGCTGATTGGAGGGAAGGGACACACCCCCTCCCTTCACACAGGAACAGAGCCGAGGCCATCAATCGCAGGCTATGTGCTGGAGGTCCCTCCTCTGTCGCTTTTTTTTTCTCTTGGTGTCAGGAAAACTTGTCAGAAGTGACTGATGCTGATAGCTGAGGAACAAAGAAGCAGACAGAAATGACACTTAGTGCTTTTAATTGAGACAAGTAAACACTATAGAGGGATATGCTTTCTTCATATTTCATGTCTGAGGTATACAATCATTTAAATCCATTAGATTTTTTTATCACTAGGGATCTTTGTGCAGACCCTCTCCCCCTTTCTCCTGTTATTGTGAAGTATAGTACAAGTCTTTCACTCCCTTACTGAATTTTAGGCTCTGTAAAACATTTAAACATTTGGGCAATCCAACAACAATAGTATGTTTCTGTCATAATCACGTTGGAAAATTAGCAGAAATGCATTTTAGCAGGGAGATCTTACTGCCTGGGTCCATCAAACCTCTTACAGCTCATATCTGAAATATCTGTACAAATTTTACAAACTGTGATTAGTGACTAAAATGAGAACCATCTTGTTGTCCTGGGGCCACTGATCGGATTTTCTTGAGCCACTCAGAGATTGGGTATATGTGGGGCCCCAGGTGCACAGACACTAGTTTCCCATAGATGGTCAGCACAATTATATCTTCCCTGTCACTCTCAGCTTTTTATTAGAAACATGCGCAAGGATCCACTTTGAAGCCTTTTTACCTCTAGCACCCAAGAACTGGTCCATCCGAAAGTTCTCATTTTCAGTTATGTGACTGTAGGGAGTGAAATGGGACTCTTATGTCTCTGCAGAGAAGCAGCTCGGTCAGCTTAGAAAGTCAGAACCCTGTGGATGCCATCTATCTGAGGGATCGGGCAGCTGTACTCACTCTTATTAGAGAGGAGGTAAAACCACATTGGGGACTGTTTCAGTTGTCCTAGTTGTCCATGCGTAGTTTCCATGAGTGTCCATCCATACAAAAACATATTTGCTTTCATTGTTAGATGTGCAGCATTACTATCCCGTCAAAAGTCTTGCTCTCTTTATGGAAATCCATTTGTAATAATATTTTATGTTTGGGAAGGTGGAGGTGGTTGTAAAATTGGTGCTGTTTTTCCACCAAAAACTGATATCTGGAAACTGAACTGCCCACTTTGTTATTTCTCATGGGGATTTCCATTAAAGATGACAGCAAATGTAAGAGTGCTCTCACCCTGTTGGATCTCTCCTTTTTTATTTGACTGTAAATAATACAGCCAGGAAAGGAAGACACTGAAGGTTAGAAAATTTCCCAGAGACCCACCAACATCCTGACCCCTTTAAAATAAAGCTGTTAACATGTTTTAAAGGTAAAGTCCCTCTTCTTCAGTTTCCAAAGTCACATTCTGCTTCGATTGTATGGGTGGTAGCACATGGGCTTTTTCAGCCAGCACTTTATCTGCTCAGGACATTTTTAAACACATAATCTGCTGAGATTGTTTTCTGTTGAATTTAAACTGCCCACATCCTTTCTTGGATGTGTTCTCATTTCTATGTTAGAGGCAGAATGAGCAAAAGATGTTCTCTACTTGACAACTGTTGTCAAGAGCTGACTCTTGGCTCAGGACCTCAGATGGGATACCACAACACATATTTGTGGTCTCCAGCTCTTTGGAATCGATAGAGGATGTTACTGAGAAACACATTTGTTGGGTGAGGAACAAATTGTCAGTTGACATCTCAGGTCCCGAAAAACAGCATACTTAGACCTCTCACCTAGAACAGACCGAATGTTGCTGACAAAGTATGTGCCCGTCCTCAATAAACATTTACTGCCCTCAGCAAGGATGGGTTTGAGTTTTCAACAGCACTTTAAAGCTGTGAATGAAAATAAGCCCATGCGCCACCAACCTAAATCTCACAAAAATTGCTCTTCGTCAGTGCTGTATTTCACCTGCTATGGTATTTGAAACATTTGCCATTACTGCTTCTCTCACAAATGCTTTAACCCATTTTAGTTGAATTGTCTCGTTGTTTACTCGTTTCATTTTAAAAAGTTCTCATCAACAGCAATTTTTTACTATGGTTACAACTGGAAGAAATTTTGGGAAAACATTTGTGTTGCTTGCAGCATCCAGAAATAATTGTTCACCTTCAATAAACAATGCATGAGACTGAGTGCTAGGAGTAGTAATCCAAGATAGAACTACAGATTATAGGGCCCCATAGCCAAACTTTGATGAAGCCCCTCAGCGACTTCCTGCTGCCATTCCTTGATCTTAAAAAACAAGTGTGTCTAAATCAAGGTAGTAGTTGAGATGCCATTACACTACTAGGGACCAGAGCTATGGACAGAAGTTGTCAAGGAAGAGAGGCAACAGTGCAGGGAATTCAGTTTTAGAGTGGCAGTAAAGTCTGGTTGATACGTTTAAACAACTGGGCTCCCCTGCAGGTTTAAGTCATAATGTACTAGTATGCATTGCATACTAGCACATTATGGCAGACTTACCTACAAATGGAGCCCTCCAGCCCTGCGCCTTCTGGGTTTCGTATCCCTGGTCACTTGCACACAGGAGTCACACCACTGTGGCACACAGTGGTTGCCAAAAGTTTGATCTGAGCTGCACATGTGCGGCTGATCTCACATTACCCACAGACAAGCAGGTAAAGGGGGTTATTTATGACAGAAGAGATCTCTGGTGTCTCTTCTGTTATGCAAACCCTGCCTGTGAGCGTTTTTTCTAATTCTTGACTTTACTACCACTTTAAGATTCATTTTCCAGATAGCTACTGTGTTCTCTGTAGTTCCCTCGTCTTTTTAGCATCTCAGATCTTAGGTCCTCAGTGTAAATTCTATGCCCTCTCACTTGTTCCACAGTAAGCAAGTGCCAAAAGAGGTGGTCAGTAAAAATGAAAAATAAAAACAGTTTTGGTAGCAATAATAATGACCATCATGATAAACTATATACATAAATACGAACTTCCTTAACTGTGGGTTTTCTTTTGCAGAACTACAAACAGCTGTCAGTTTTTAGCTGAGGACACACGCTGGGAATTTTTATAGCCTAAGGAAGGTGTACATTTTAGCTTGAAACTGCGGCTCACCTTAGCCAATAATAGTATGGACACGTACATGTGAAAGCCTAAGTCATTGCCACTCCTTGGGCCATACCCTCTGACCTGTTTTGCCTCACCCACTGGGGCCTAATCTCAATTTAGGATTGAGCCCTTGTTGGTGGGGCGAAACATGTCAGGGGGTATGGCCCAAGGAGTGGCAATGATTTAGGCTTTCACATGTACGCGTCCATACTATTATTGGCTAAGGTGAGCAACGCATGGATGAGTTTTTCTTACGTTGGCATCCCTATTATCCTGAGTGCCAATGGGTCTCTACATCTCAGCCTGGAGTGGCACCACCAAGTACTAATGACCTTATCGAAAGGGAGGCGTACATGGCTAATTTCAGTGCTGGTCAGGATGACCAGAATCTCTAGAGGAGAGTCATCCTCTGTATTTGTCCTGGTAAAGATAGTCTCTCTTACAGATGGGAAATCCAACATTTTTAGCGTTTTCACAGTTACAGGAAGTGAAGGGAATGGGAAAATGTGTCTTGGTGACAATTCCCTACAAGGGGAATTCCCCTCACTTTGTAGAAATTTTCTCTCACTTCCTATTTTGTCTCTGGAAGTGAAGGACAATTTCTCAAGTGGGAAATGGCAAAAAAGCAGTTTCCACGCAGTAAGTGTAGATGTCATGTTCTAACCTAACCAAAAATCAGATAGCTGACATCTGACTGGGTACTGTGGGCAACACAATTGATTCCCTTTCGTCCAGTCATAAATGAACTCCATTATCTGCAACCCAGGCATAATATTGTATTCTCTGCATTTAATCTAAAGATTATAATGAAGGAGCTTGAAGTGAAGGGACTGGCAAGCACGCTACGAGCAGAGTCACACAGAGGTGCTGGAAATGAGGTATGCGGCCTGATTTATCCACTCTTACTGTTGACCCACATGGGCATTTATACCTCACCGACACTTTTTCAGTCTACAAACCGTGAACGATGACATTGCAGGGAAATAGTCAGTTTTACACAAGTTAAGAGTCTTGTCCTATTATGAGTCTTGTCCTATTTGTCTGTACAGGCTCTTGAAGTATATTTTTGTCTAAGTTTTCTGAAAGCGTATCTAAATCCAAAGCCAAAAATATAATATATTGCTGTTTACCAGTCCTTTTTCCTTTATTTTTACCTGGTAATTCTTCAGATAACACACTTCCTGTCCCATATCTACACTTATTTTACAGCTGTGTCTATGGAGGGAGTCATAGTTGATAGGCTGGACATAAAAAATGTCTGCTCCATTGTATAGTGAATTGATGGTATCATTGACACAGGAAAGACATCTGCTTTCTCTTCAACCCACATAAAGTGACAAGGGCACTGCATTTCTGGAGAGAACAGTATTGTCTGTACTTGCCAATAATGTTTTCCATGAAAAAGAAAAATAATGCAACCGCCACATCCAAGCTGCAGTATATTAGAATTTTGCTTTTGGATTTAGATGCGCTTTACTGGGGCTTTGGGAGCTAAATGATAGTGGTATAGGAATGGATCTCTGAATAAATAAAAACACTTTAGAAACTGGATTCTCTGCATTCTTGAACCTGAAATCACAGTGGATAAATTGACATGATGTGTACCATATGAGTACTATAGTCAGCAACTGAACCTCTCTCTTCCGTGTTTTATTTGCACAAAAAACAGCAAAAATCTCACTAGTTGTGTAAAAAGATTTTTCATTTTTTATATAAATAGATATGATAAAATCCTTTTGATTTTCCTTTAGCTGTTCTGTTTCTAGTCATCTATATTTGAAGTAAAACCAAGCTAGAGACATACTTTGAAGTCATACTGGTATCTGATCATCAGCCTAGTGAAGAGGGTATGGGTGCAATCCATTGGGGGGTCCGTAATTGTGAAAAGGTTAAGAACATTAGGCTTAACTCTAACTCTGAGCAGAAAACACAAAAAAAGACAGCTAGTCTGGATTGTTATGAGCAATTGCATTCAGAACGTTCACACTATGTAGTGATGTGGAATAAGCCTTGCCAATATAATATGTGATCTTTATTTCCTTTGCTTTGCAGAAAGATCGTTGCAGAGTATGAAAAAACCATCGCACAGATGATCGGTGAGAGGTCCTATAATGCTGATTATCACTTACTGTATATAAGAACAGTATAGAATGTCATGATGTTTGCAAAGGGTGATCCCCAAGGGTGACGTTCTAAAGGGTCGAACATTACATTTTGTGTCTTTTAATTGAACAATAAAATGTATTTTTTGCCCCCGTTCTTATTCCCTACCTTTTTAGCCAAATGCATCTTGAGCTAGAAAGTTGGAAATGTTGAATTCTGAAGAGTCTTTTGGGGGGGGGGGGGAGGGGCAATACTAACTTCTTTCCAGGGGAAATCTTTTTTGCCAATTTTATTTTAGTGAAAGTTACTTTAAAACGACACTACCATTCTGTATCATATCATTTTTCTCTTCTATTTTTATGTGGCCATTTCTCTACATTCAATTTTCCCTTTCTTGGTGCTTCCCAGTGACATCACATCTCCAGCACACAAATTCCCCAAACAGACCCCATTTCCAGTGCACACATGTATTGGTCTTTACTCTCTGTCCCTCCTCCAACACATACTCTTCTGAAGCTGGCCATACACTAGTGGAAGTTTATTCAAATTAATCATTTTCTAATAATCAGTGTCAAATTAATGTTAATTTTTGTCAGCAGTGATATCAAAAACTTGAAGGAGCAGGGTGGAAACTTTTCTAACAAATTTCTAAGAGTGTATGTGGTTTTTGCATGGGAAAATCCTCTGATTCCAAAACCTAATGTAAAAAGCAAACAAAATTTTGAAGCACTTTCCAAACAATGTTTGTCAGGACACTGAGTGTACACTTCTTTAACATTGTTTGTTAATAAGTAGAGTTTTGCTAGTTATAAGAATAAAAAATAGAAACATGCATAGCTGCAAAAGCTTTCTTACAGCCATGCTACGTTCAAGAGCCATGCTACGTTCAAGTTCAAGAATCCACTGGGAAGCTAACACTTTCAGGATTGTCATTCTTCTTGGTTCCCTACAACACCTATAGCGCTGACTTCCATGTCTCTATAGGACACACTATTGACGTGGAGGTCTGCAGCAGGAACCAATGAGTGTTGTAGGGGACACAAGAGACCAATACTTTTGGAACCGTTGGTTTACCAGCAGACTTTTTTTTTTTTTGGAAAATATTTTGGTGTCTGGTGGTGTGGACCGCAGAAAGTTGAGATGCATGGGATCTTTTTTTTTTTTTCTACATCATATTTACCTAGGCGGATGCAGCATCGCCCAGATGCTGTATCTGTCCCTGCTGGCTCTAAGGGTAAGAACTCGGCATGACCGCTGATTGCTGAGTTCCCGCCACTGATGTGAGCAGAGAGCGGTGACTGTTAGTCACCGGTGTCTGCTCTGCCCCCCCAGCCCACTGGAGCACTGGGCTTTGGAGGGGAAGAGAGTGGCTGGCTCAGCTTCTCAGTGGATCGCTGAGAGGTTGAGCCAAGTGCCGCTCCATACTGTGGGGTGGATCCCAACTTTTAAATCGGGATCCTTCCCTAGCCTGGACCGGCTCAATGACATCAGCCAACAGCAGGCTTCAGCCTGCTGTCAGCTGAATACAGGTGACAGGAGTGCAGAACAAACTGCACTCCTGTGATCCACAGAAGTACAGCCAAAAGCGATTTTGGTGTACTTCTCCATTAGGTATTCTGTCTCTTCTTTTGCCAGGTATGCCTGCTTGTAATTATTTATTACAAGTAAATGGTTGCATGGTGTAATCCGTGTCTAATAGATTCTACTCTTTTATCAAACTGATCATTATATCAAATGATCATATTGCTATGTGTATAGCTAGGATTATATGCTGCCTGGTGTTCAGATCTATTTAATTTTATTTATTTCAGGTACTTATGTAGAGCAGTCAATTTCTGTAGAGCTTTACATATATATATATATATATATATATATATATATACAGGTGAAACTCGAAAAATTAGAATATCGTGCAAAAGTTCATTTATTTCAGCAATGCAACTTAAAAGGTGAAACTAATATATGAGATGGACTCATTACATGCAAAGCAAGATAGTCATAATTGTGATGATTATGGCTTATAGCTCATGAAAACCCCAAATAAACAATCTCAGAAAATTAGAATATTACATGCAATCAATAAAACAAGGATTGTACATAGAACAATATCAGACCTCTGAAAAGTATAAGCATGCATATGTACTCAGTACTTGGTTTTGGGCCCCTTTTGCAGCAATTACTGCCTCAATGCGGCGTGGCATGGAAGCTATCAGCCTGTGGCACTGCTGAGGTGTTATGGAAGACCAGGATGCTTCAATAGTGGCCTTCAGCTCTTCTGCATTGTTCGGTCTCATCTTTCTCTTGGAAATGCCCCATAGGTTCTCTGTGGGGTTCAGGTCAGGCGAGTTTGCTGACCGACAAGCACAGTAATCCCACGGTCATTGAACCAGGTTTTGGTGCTTTTGGCAGTGTGGGCAGGTGCCAAGTCCTGCTGGAAAATGAAGTCAGCATCCCCATAAAGCTCGTCTTCGGAAGGAAGCATGAAGTGCTCCAAAATCTCCTGCTAGATGACTGCATTGACCCTGGACTTAATGAAGCACAGTGGACCAACACCAGCAGATGACATGGCTCCCCAAATCAACACAGACTGTGGAAACTTCACACTGGACTTCAAGCATCTTTCAGTGTGTGCCTCTCCATTCTTCCTCCATACTCTGGGTCCTTGGTTTCCAAATGAGATGCAAAAGTTGCTCTCAGAAAAGAGGATTTTGGACCACTGAGCAACAGACCAGGTCTGTTTTTCTTTAGCCCAGGAAAGACGCTTCTGACATTGTTTGTTGTTCAGGAGCGGCTTCACAAAAGGAATACAACATTTGAAGCCCATGTCCAGGATCTGTCTGTGTATGGTGGCTCTTGATGCACTGACTCCAGCCTCAGTCCACTCCTTGTGAAAGTCCCCAACACTTTTGAATGACCTTTTCCTGACAATGCTCTCCAGGCTGCGGTCATCCCTGCTGCTTGTGCACATTTTTCTTCCACACTTTTCCCTTCCACATAACTTTCAAATAATGTGCTTTGATACAGCACTTTGGGAACATCCAACTTCTTTTGCAATTACCTTTTGAGGCTTTCCCTCCTTATGGAGGGTGTCAATGATGGTTTTCTGCGCAACTGTCAGGTCAGCAGTCTTTCTCACGATTGTGAGAGACTATTTAAAGGCTCAGGAACCCTTTGCAGGTGTTATGGCTTAATTAGTTGATTAGAGTGGGACACTTTGAGCCTAGAATATTGCACCTTTTCACAATATTCTAATTTTCTGAGATTGTGGATTTGGGGTTTTTATGAGCTGTAAGCCATAATCATCACAATTATGACAAATCACGGCTTGAACTATCTTGCTTTGCATGTAATGAGTCTATCTCATATATTAGTTTCACCTTTTAAGTTGCATTACTGAAATAAATGAACTTTTGCACGATATTCTAATTTTTTGAGTTTCACCTGTGTATATGTGTATATATATATATATATATATATATATATATTGAACATACACATCAGTGCCTGCCCTCAAGGAGCTTACAATCTAAGGTCCCTAACTCACATTCATACATACACATACTAGGGCTGATTTAGATGGATTCCAGTTAACCTACCAGCATGTCTGGAGTGTGGAAGGAAACCAGAGTACCCAGAGGAAACCAACAGAGGCACAGGGGGAACATGCAAACTCCAGGCAGGTAGTGCTATGGTTGGGATTTGAACAGATGACCTTAGTGCTGCAAGGGAGAAGTACTAACAACGTAGCCACTGTGATGTTCAGATACCTTCCAATTTTGTTGGCCAGCTTTTAGGCTACAGCTTTTCTGCCAAGTTCTGTTGTATAAATTGCACTAAATAGGATCCATTGTTTCTGTAACAGAGGATGAGCAGAGGAGTAGTGCGAGTGCTCAGAAGAGCCTACAACAAGTGACTCGAGAGAAAGACCAAGCCCTGGCTGATCTGAACTCGGTGGAGAGATCTCTGTCTGACCTTTTCAGAAGATATGAGAATCTGAAAGGTGTCCTAGAAGGTTTCAAGAAGGTATAATGTCCTGATATCACTAGACATTAGGTGGTTGATGTTCAAAGGACTGCTGTGTTAACCATTTCTGTGGTTGTTCCAGAATGAAGAGGCTCTGAAGAAATGTGCCCAGGATTATTTAGCCCGGGTGAAGCAGGAGGAGCAGAGGTACCAGGCCCTGAAAATGCACGCAGAGGAAAAGCTGAACAAGTGAGTGCCATTGTCCAATCTGATCAATGCAAGATTTGGCAATTAAGTCTGGTAGTAAACCTTGCAATATTTAGTCAAAGCTAAATTCCAAGCTAAAGCTAAAAACCACAAAATTTATTTTTCTTTACTTGAGTTAGAATAATCAGTTGCCTAATAGTTTCATGCGCTGGTACAGCTTCTGACCACACCAGCACCACCAGCGCTGTGGTTTTGATTGATACCAGTGCCCATGTCTTGTTTCTATCCACCTTGTATACCCTTTCCCAGTCACAAAGCACAGGCTGTGATGGCGCAGCCATGTATGCATCATCACAAGCACAATGTTATTACAGGGAGTTCTTTGTGACTGAGAAAACAACTTTTAAGTGGCAGTAGGAGCCACATGTGATGTCCGAGTCTTTGCTTTATGTGGTTAAAATGTAGACTCTTCCTTCCTCTACTTTGTACATATTTGTTTGAAGGAAAGAGGATAGAACACAATGAAGCATCTTTACCAGATAAAAAGGTGAAGGATCTTCAGAAACTCTTATGCAGAAAAATATATTTCCAATTATTTTATTGTCATAGAGCCAATGAGGAAATCGCCCAGGTGCGGACCAAGGCCAATGCTGAGGGTGCAGCGCTGTCAGCCAGTCTGAGAAAAGAGCAGATGAAAGTGGAGTCCTTGGAAAGAGCACTGCAGCAGAAGGTGGGTGCTTTCAGATCTCAGCAGCATATCTGGTAAACTGCCTCTGACATGTTTAAAAGAACTTGTATTGGCCTAAAATATTTTCTGGGTAACAACAATGCTCAAGCGCAGAAAACTTGTGGTGCTCGTGTGCACCTCTATTAAGCCAGCCATAGATGGATCGAATCTCAGCCTTTTCAGTAGGGACCTGCCTAGATTTGATCCATCTATGGGCAGGCTGGTTGTACTGATGTTGATTGATGGAACCAGCCTGTTGGATTTTTTGCATACGATTACTGCGAGCGGCTAGGTGAACGACATCATTCCAAGATTCCCCCATACTGGAGTTTCTTTAAAGTCTTCTAAACTACTTGAAGCTTGCTGTACACACTGCTCCTATAAAGGCGAAACCTGTGTGAACAAGGCCTAAAGATGGCCTCCAGGCAAGTTTCCTCTCAATTTCATTTTCTTAAATGGGTCCGACTGTTGTTACTCCCCCGTAGAGTAGAACCAATTAAGAAGGATAAATGTTATTCTGTGCATTTCACATCTATACATTAAAATATGCTTAGACCACATATTTTATCATGATGATTTGTGGTGGAGAAATAAGCTGGCTAAACACTGCTTAAATTTTGGCCGATTCTTGCTGACTCACATGCTCAAATAATTTTGAGGCTTCACTTATATTGTATCTATTTACCTGATGAGACCTCATCCTTGATATTTTACCAAAAAAACTGGGTATTGTGTAGCATTCATCTAGATACCCAGGGGGAACTAGTTAGCAATTTTTAGAGAGAAAGACTGAGTAGCAGTCTGGGTTTACATTAGAGGGATCATATTTTTGGTTAGGAGGCTTTGCAGATCAGTTCCTTGATACTTCCCCCTGCTCTAGAAACGGGAATCCCATACACCCATCACCTCATCCAGGTTCAATTCTTCTAATAAAACTTAAAAACCAAGCTCAAGGACTGTTTACTGTCTCTGGAATGCAGGTCTGTGGAAAATGTGTGCTGTCTGGCTGTGCAGGACTATAGAGGAACCCAAATAAATCTTCAGCAACTCCTAAGAGGGTAGTGCTACAATTGTATTGTGTTTATGTGCATACAATTAAAGTGGTTCTAATGCCTAACATTTTTTACCTTTAATGCATTCCCTACATTAACATATAAAAACGTTAGGCATCGGTATTGGCCCCTCACCCCCCTTATACTTACCTGAGCTCTCATTCAATCCACGCTGTGCACATCTGCAGCTCTTCTCTTTCATCACTTCCAGGTCTCACAGGCTTTGCTGTGGCAGTGGGAGCCATTAGTTCCCACTGCTGTCTATCAAAGCCAGTAACAAGGGAGTGGGGGGCCAAATCCTGCTGTTTGTGTCAATAGATGCAGACTGCAAGGCTCGGGAGCAAGCCCACGAATGCACCCATTGGAAGCGCCAGTGGGGGACTCTAGAAGAGGAGGTTCAGGGCCGCTCTGTGCAATTCCATTGCACAGAGCAGGTAATCATAGACACTTTTTAAACATTTTGTCTTTATTTCCTTTTACAACCACTTTCTGCATTTACAATGTGGCTGCCATTATTTAAGACCTGCCTATTTGTCAGAAGCTGATTTAAAATGTAACTTATTCATATTAATATTTGTTTTTCAGAACCAGGAAATAGAAGAACTGACCAAGATCTGTGATGAGCTGATTGCCAAAATGGGGAAGAATGACTGAACAATGATTTTCTCACTACTCCAGTATGACATTCCCCACCCTTTCTACGTGTCAGCCAATCAGCATGTGTCATGGAAGTTAAAAAGCAAGAAAGCCCCACAGCAACTTGAAGTGTACTTCTCCATTTCAAGATATTAAGAGCACACTGCGTATGGTTTCTGACCTATTACTGGTGGACTTTTCCTTTTCTAACATCAGATAAGTGGATTCTCCTTGGGCAGCAGGGCCAGTAAAAGCTCCATTCCCTGTATATATGCCACCAGCTTGGTCATGTGATATTTCTGCATAGTTTGTTCTTGATAAATGTAGTTGGTGCTCATATTGTGCTTCCCATTAATTTAACCTGCAAGCTCAATTTACAGTCCACTGAGCCTTTTAGCAGTCTTTATTACAGAAGTACCTTCTATAGTGCAACAGTGCTACAGAAGTACCCAATCGAAGGGGATGATGGACAGGAATTAAGCCCGCTAAGCAGCAGAATTACCCAAAGCAAAATGTGTTAATGAGAAATAGCTTTTACTGTGCAGCAAATCCTATTTGCATCGCTGATGGGAAACTGGAAGACTGGCTCTAGAAGCTCCTTTAGGTCGAAAGAAGAGCCTACATGTATGTTGTGTTGTGGGAAAAAAGAACCCATTACTAACGTTTGACAATCTATAGTATGCTCATTGAAGGATAACTGTGAGAGTCAGCGTCGTTGTACACATTTGCCACACATGATGCAAATCTTGCTCATCAGAGGATCTTATAAGAGGATTTGGAAGGATTTACATGTGTCTTGTAATAATAAAAGGCATATAATATTGGCTGGACCAATAGACAGCTTAGTGCAGTGTGGGAGTGCAGTTGGAGTGTCATGGCACACTTTTTAAAGGCGTGTAAAGTATTACAATTTTAAACCGAGTTGGGCAAAGTGCAGTAACGTAAGCAACCAATCAGATATAATTTCTCACTGATCTGGCAACAGTAGAGTTAAATTATATTGTTTGGCATAGGCCACAGTGCATTGCACATCATAGTCCATTTTTTTCGCTGCCCCTAATTAAACCAAATAGTCTCTCAATGCTGTATTTTGCTCTTCAGCAAACAAAGCTGCTGTTTCAAAGGAAGTCCCTTTAAAACAAAACCTTAGAATGAATGCAATGGTTGTGCAGGCTTCCCATCTGTGGAACTACAACACCTAGAATGTCATCTGTACATACAAGCTTAGATTGCCTAAGTCAGATCCGGTAGGGGGTTAGTCTACCCAGTTTATCCTTAAGAAGACCATATAGATCAGGGGTGTCAAACTGGCGGCCCTCCAGCTGTTGTGAAACTACAAGACTCATTATGCTTCTGCCTTTGGGAGTCATGCTTGTAACTGTCAATCTTGCAATGCCTAATGGGACTTGTAGTTTGGCAACAGTTGGAGGGCCACCAGTTTGACACCTGTGATATAGATCATAGATAAGTAAGCAGGTATTAGCAAAATATGAACCAACCTTGGCGTGGCCAATTTTAGGAGGGGTGTTTAGCATAATAGCAGTGCTGCAAGCTAACAACATATTCAGATTCGGTTTTTTGGAAAATGTTGTTGCTGTGCAAAAGTGCAATGAGATAAAAAACAGCAGTATTTAATATAGTTCTATGTTATATCAGTGCACAGACTACACGAAGGTACAGACCGTACAGTTCACTAAAATACCAATATTGTTAGTAGCCATGTTGTCTATCTACACTTACCTGCAGCTGACAACAATATATTTGCCTAAAACATCTCTGAATGTGCCCAAATGATTGTCCTGCTTACAGGGCCAAATTTATCAATACACTTTTAAGCCCGAATGTCTGTGCCAAGAAAATAAATAAATAAAATGCAGTACATCTCTGCAATAAATATACATTTCCCCATATTTTATCCTTTTACGAATGCCTCAGGAACAGAAAACCTGTTGATGTGCCATAAATGAAGTCCTAACTTCCTGTTTAAGCTGACAACTCTCTTTCTGCTGCCCTGAATACCCAGTCAGTTTTGTCAGCCAGTTCTCCCCTGCTGGACTATAAAACACCTCCCTTTATGTTATGGAAATTGGTAGGTGTCCAGCAAGGGAGGACCCAGGTAGGGTTGATACATCAATTAAAGCTAGGTACACACAGGCCAAAAATGGTCGGTTAGGTAGGAACAGGCCTACTTTCAGCCCCTGTGTACAGCTTCTCATCCAACAGAAGCTGGTCTCACAACCGGCTTCTGTTGAACAAGTATGCTGGAAAACCAGCATCTAATCATCTCTCACAGTGCTGATCACTGTGTTCTGGCAGGGGGCCAGTCCCCCTGTCAGAACACAATAGCTCAGTGGGGAGATAGTCATACTAACATCACATGTGCTAGTACAGCAATCTGTAAGTTTTTCTTTATTCAGCCCATTGGATTGAATGAAAAAAAAATGTCCCGTGTGTACCCAGCATACGATTTCAGTGCAGTAGAGACAGGGTTGTCAGCTCATTACAGGAAGTTAGGAGCCCCCTGAATTTCTGGCAGGATCAACAGCTATTTTTCTGTATTTGCAGTACTTTTAAAGAGACAAAACATCGGTAAATGTGCATCTATTGCACAAATGTGCTGATTTTTTTTTTGCCCAGACATGCACTTTTTAAATGGAATCCAACAAGTGACAAATGCAGAAGTTGCCCTTGTTATTTTGTTTTTGAAGATGTGTGTCCTGGGACTGTCATCCATCTCCTTTCCTCACTACTTGCTGAGTTACTGACCTAGAAACAAAATGAGAATAGAAGATATTGGGGCACCTGTTATGCCCATGCATGTTCACGGTCCATGACTCATGGAGCAATAGAGTGATGAGGAAGACGACCCCTGGATCATATACCTGTAAAACAAGTCAACTGTTCCTGTATTCTTCTCCTGAGATGTTTTTTTCTGAAGCGAACCTGTTCGATTCTCCTTACCTGGCTAACCTGAGACTCTTGTACTGTGCTGGAAGCTGCCATCATCTGAGAGCAGCACCAATTCTGGGGCAGTCAAGTCAGTGTGTGGGAGTCTGCACAGTTGTGTACTGACCAGGATCCAGAACCATGCGAGTCCCAACAACCTCCAACTCTGGTAAGGAAAGGTCCAACCAAAGATTCCCTTTGGAAATTGCATAGTTGTATACCAAAATAGCAGGAGATGTAATTGATATTTTGGTGTGCACATCATATGGAAAGCCAGTCAGCACTGCTTTTATGTTTCAAGTATTTTATTCAAGTTCTGCAACAGAACAGAAGTACAAACATTAAACCGTTAGACCTTGGCATTATTAATATAGGTTACATCAAGTGGTTTGTATGCCCTGCTTGAGATATAGATACGTTAAGTTAGTATTACTAGAACAACATTGGGGAGTATAAGATGTATCACAGATACGTATTTCCCCCTTCTACCAGAGACGTGACAGATCTAGTTGAGCATAGCACTGACATAGCAAGGACAGCACAGCTTTTAATACATTTTCTCTGTAAGCCTCATGAGCCACCCGAATCTTGGTGTTTCTCACCAACAGAAGAGTAAAAGCAGCCTTCCATTAATCCCCCAATAAAATGGTCCTTTACTGTGCATCCCAGGCAAGAAAAGTTATATGAACTAGACAAGCATGTCACCCAACCCAAGGACTGTTTCATGAGCTGCTCACTTATCTTGGTTTACACAACCAACCAAGGATGCACTGCTGCTGATTTGAGAGTGAGACTTTTTTTTGTATGATATAGATAAATGAAATGAATGAACTTTGTAGATGGTGTTCATTACCTAAGTTTGCACTGCGTCCAGTGAGAGAAACTGACATTTTCATTGTCCCTTTGGGAAAACCATCTAAAGGTGGAGCCATATGGGTGATTTCTAATTGAATACTGTTGAGAGATTTAATCGCTGCAATCACCTTATTAGGCTAGAGCTACAGGGGAGATTTTTAATAGCAATTCATCTCCAGAAGTAACGATTGTTCACTAAACAGCTGAAATTAATGGCTTCAAATAAATATAGCAAAATATGGGTCATTTAGTAGCATTCTCTAGCTGATGAAGGATTTAACTTTTTTTTTCTAGGTGATGACTTATAACAGAGTAATATTAAAACCAGGGGTCTCTAAACTTTCAAAACAAAGGGCAACTTTACTGTCCTTAAAAACTTTAGAAGGGCTGGACTGTGGCCAGCAGGAGTAGAAAATGTCTTGGTGTCAGTGGGAGTAAACAGTGTTCCCTTTTTGGTAATAGGGGGAGGAATAGTGCCCCATTGTTTGTGTCAGTAGGAGTAATAGTGCCCAGGGGCGGACTGACTATTTGGAAATTTGGGCACTGCCCGAGGGCCTGGGGTCAGTAGGGGGCCCCATGAGATGCCCCGGGTACCTTTTTCATAGGTTTTTTTTGAGTTTGGACAAGGACACGGGCCCCATGATCCCATATTGCCCGGGGGCCCCATGAGTTGTCAGTCCACCCCTGATAGTGCCCCATAATTGGTGTCAGTTGGAGGAATAGTGCCCCATTGTCGGTGTCAGGGCAGGAACTATGCCCCACTGTTGCTGACAGTGGGGGAATAATGGCCCAAGGGCTAGATAAAAGCAAGCAAAGGGCCACATCTGGCCCTTGGGCCACAGATTGGAGACCACTATCTTAAACCAAGGCCCTGTGGTTTTCCTCCTTGCTAGGGAAGAGCCCAGGCATGTTCAGAACCTAGTTTGAACCCATGTGAACGAGTCTACCAGGAAGCTCTACTGGGTCATTCATTGGCAGCCGGAACATTCCCAGCCTCATAGCTGTACATATACAAGGAATGCTCGGCTGCTTATAAATGGACCAGTACAGTGACCGATTCCTGGCAGGCTCACACATGTGGGTTTGGATTAGGATCTCAAGATGCCTGAGCTACTCCTCGTCAGTTCTGGTTGTGAGGACCGGACCTCCAAAGCCACTCTTCTTTCTGTTTTTTGATCTGAACACGCCCAAGCTCATCCCCTACTCCTCATCAGTTC